TCCCAACAAAACGCGAGAGAAGGACGACGGGACGACATAAACTAATTGTCGGACCCCTTCCCTCCCTCTGGTCTCTACCTCAAACTAGAATCTGACCCCCTGATCCCTTAACACCTCTCCTCTGCCTCTAATTACTACCGATTGGTTGCTTAAACTTTGGTTAATTCTACGCCCCTGGTGACGAATTAATCGAAAACGTTTATTCGCCTAACCTGAGTTCCTGAATGCTTACATGGGTATCATGGCTGAACTTCATACTATTGAGTGATAGTCACATATACGATGAATTTGAGGGGTATTAATTTTGGTGGGCTTAAAAAGTACATTCCGCATCCCACTGTGTTTGCCACCGTCTCCGATGTTGGGTGAATTCGAAACGCCGGATGAAGCCAACCTCTGTCTCATTGGTCAAATTTCTTTCCTTCCAAGTGCTCTCCTAAGGATGTTTACAGGCGACTGTTTTGCCGGATACAGGGCTGGTGTACCGGGAACGTGAGACATAAGCGTAAAAAGTCTGGAATGGTCATGGTTTAACTGAAAACTGTCTTGAGGTACGTTTATGGCAAACGAAGTCCGAAAGGTATCAGAGAGGTTATAGGTTAAGGCATGAAGGATGACAGGATTTTACCTTGAGCCGGAAGTCCAACATCCGGGCTACGAGTTCACGAAGCAGCGGGAGATGATCCACTTCGTGCGGTTTTACGGAAGCCAACTGATTCAGGCCCAAGTGATGTGCACGCACTCGTTCTTAAGTCGATACAAGAGAAACGTTTTGAAAGTCAGGGCGCATATATGGCATTTCGAAAAGGAGGGATAGAAAAAATGGACAAAGCGACATGTAATCGGCAGACAGAATTAGATGGATGGCGCAAAAGACGTCGCCAATGAGAATTCAACGAGCTGACACCGCTTACAGAGCGATAATCTACTGTGTCTGCTTTAAATTGTTATATTAACGCACGACATCCCCCATAACTGGTAATACAACAAACATAATGCAGATAATAAATTTGAATCATGAGTAATAACGGCGAAAAATGCATTAATGAGCACTCAAAGGCAGCAATTCCCGTTATACTCGCAGGCTATTTGGACAATGTTTCAATGAGGCATAAAGAGACTGCAAAAGAAATATTAAAACAGCTTGCCGGTCACGGAGAGGGAGTCTTACTAACTGAAAGCGTGGTAGAATAATGGATGCCAATCACAATCCATATGTTCGTAGGGAAAAGGCGACTTTTAGGGATGAAAAAAAACATGGCTAGCAGTGATGAAAAAAAGGGAAATAGCCTTCGGGGAATAGACTAACATGGTAGCACTTGCCGACAAATCAGCAAGTGAGACATGACTACGTGCAATTACGGCCTCTGTGAACGGAAAAATGTTTTTTTTCAGAACTGACTAGAACGGACTACAGGATATCCGGCCTATCCGGTTAAATAGACTAGAAAAAATCATTTTAAATAAGCGAAAATTCATTAATATACGCCCACAAGGTGGTTGAGAGAACCATATAAGGGCAAAAATTAAACAGAATAAGGCAGTTGGAAGAAAATGCACCAAATTTGAAATACAAAAAATCGCACAGTTACCGATAGAAGCGAATATGCGAGTTCCAGGAGGCAGCTCAGGAGTATAAGATGTGATCGCAGGAACGTGCATTTTATTTGCCTGACGTTTCGGATTCTGTCGAGAATCCGTAGGCATGGATAACCAAAGGTAATCATAGGATTGTCGACAGAATTCGAAACGTGAGGCAAACAAAATTCTTGTTCCAGCGATCACATCTTCTACTTCTAAATCACATAATTGCTCCTCAGAATCAAAATAACAACTTTATAAAAGGAAAGAAATTACACAGAGACAGCACAGGATATAGTACCATGGCAATTTGAAGGTTCACTTGCTAGGGGTTCAGAGGTACTGGCCTCAAAAAACTGCAAATACAAAACCCGCTACCAAAAAGAATTCACCAAGACAGTAATTACCCCTGTGTACAACTCCACAGGGTTATGAATAAAGAATGAGCGCTAAGGGCTTTTGAGTAATCGAAATGAAGACTGTTATACGTGGGCGATGCGCAAAGTATTTTGAATCCTTCGCTAGACTCAGTCGAGGCGCTGTGGTCACGCGCTTGTGTTCGAAGGCCCTATGCATCACATGGTTGCCTCACGCATGACTACAGTCCGATAC